AAGGACAGTGACAATTTATATCTAACGACAGTAAACCTCCAGTTGCCCGCCATCCAGTGGTCCGGTACTCCTGATAGTCCGGCACCACCTGAAAACCGGAAGTGCTCTAGGCAGCCGGACCATTGGAGCTGCTCTGCTCCGGGCTTCCCCGAGTCAGCCGCTGGTCAGTTTCAGCAGCGGTTGACTTGGGGAAGTCTGAGGCAGAGCAGCTGGGATGCTGCCGGGTTTGTCCCGCAGCGCTGAGGGGTGCATCTCCCCCCCCACTCCACCCCAGACCCTTCATAGCCCCCCCTTCCTATAATCCGGCATATTTGATAATCTGGCACCCCCTGGGTCCTAAAGGTGCCGGATTATTGGAAGTTTACTGTACTTGTAAACAGAATTTAAACACAATCAAACCAGCACTATATAACACCATTTTAACATGCCAAGGTGCACTGCTCTGGAAGTGCCTGCATGCGTTAGCAGCCACGTTATTTGAATGTGCGATCTAGGGATGCAGAAGAGTAGTCAGTCAACTATTCTGTCTCTCCTGCCCCCCCCCCCCCCATATCATAGGCAGCAGGGTGGGGGAGGCAGGAGCTGCTGCTAGAAGGAGCTGTCTTAAAAGCCAGTTCCCCCTGCACCATTTCCGTGGTGCCGCTAGCCCCCCTTCCCCTGCGTTGCTGTGGTTATGAGGCAGCAGTGTGGGGAGGTGGCTGCTGGAGCAGTCCCTGTCCACAGCCATCTCCGGCAGCAGTCCTTGTCCACAGGGTGGGGGTCCCCGATCCCTAGGTCCAGGAGCTACCCCTGCTGCAGCTTTGCAGTTTAAATGTAGTAGGAGCTGGGCTGCCTGCATGCCCAGCTCTTGCTACATTTATACTGCAGAGCTGCAGCAGGGGTAGCTCCTTTTGCATGCCGATCCTTACAATTTGTATCAAATACACAATTAATATCGACTACGCTATTACCCATCTCTTAACTGCTTTAGTGCAATCAGTATATGAAAGGAGCTACAAAACTGTATTCATGTAACTTTTAAGGTGCTAATGCAACAAATTAAGAAATGACAAAGTTCTAGTTTGTGTGATGAGAATTACTCTGCCGTGTTGCCCATGTGCAATGTAGTAAAGCATGGCATTTTATACCTGCCCGTAGCAAATGCTCTCCCACACAAGTACTAACACTTGTATGACAGGCAAGTAAGATATTATCAGGCTTTCCGTAACCATCAAGATAAAAGGAGGAAGATCAATTTTGTGATTAATTCACGGGATGGGGATTTCCCTGACTGGGATTGCCCTGATTTGACACAGTCTTGCTTCATGATCTTAGGTAAGTCACTTACCCCATTTCATCATTTTACAGATAGAGATAGCAGAGCTTTGTAGATCTTGTCTATTTGGACTGGAAGCTCTTCAGAGACTGTCACTGGGGTGTGTTGGACCAAGCACCATATGGCTCTGATATAGGTTCAGGTGTCTAAATCAGCGACAGGCAGCCTTAGCTAATGAGTGGCCCTCCTTGGTCCCAGTGGACCACTAGGTTGTCATAACCAGGACTATCTCCTGGAGAAGGGTAGTTTTGCTAACTCTGCTTGTTTCCCTAGAATTTTATGGCTATGCTGATTGAATTATAGCAGTGCATTGATTGGATGCAGAAGGGGCACATGACTCTGTCAGTGTTGTATACAATCAGCATGCACCTCGCTTCAGGTACACCTCTACGCAGCAGCATATTTCAAAATAACTTAGTTTGCATACAAGGAGTAAGGGAAGTTGGAGGAAGAGTGCTCTATTTTGAAAAGTGCTGTGTAGACGCTCCCTATTTCAAAATAAGCTATGCAATTGACGTAGCTCAATTTGCATAGCTTATTTCGAGTTAAGCCCTGCTGTGTAGACACATCCTTCATGTGCCCGTGCTTTACATGCATGTCACTTTAGTAATATCAGTGGGGGGGGGGGGAACTGCACAGATGGAAACCAGTAGAATCTGGCAACAGTAAACAAAATGTCGTGAGGTTCTATGGAGGCCCACAATGGGCTGCATATGGCCCTTGGGCCACAGGTTGCGTACGACTGCTGTAAATGCTACTGTGATGCAAATAATAAACAGCAAAGCATGTAGAATTTTCTGACATTCTGCCAGACTTCTCTATATGATAGGAATATGAGTGGCTCTAAAGATAGTCATAGGGTCTGATTGTCTGGAGCATAGGAGTTCTAGCAGTGCAGTTTGCCACTGGGTGAACCTGTGTGTCCTTGTACTTGCAGATTGAGTGCCATCCATACCTTACCCAGGAGAAGCTGATTAAGTATTGCCAGTCCAAAGGGATCTCTGTGACCGCATACAGTCCTCTTGGCTCTCCTGACAGGCCATGGTAAGAGAGCTTGGCAGTCTCCCTCTTTGGACGCATGCATGTCTTGAATTATTGAAGAAAGCTGAATGACCAATGCAGTAACAATTAAAACATATTTTTATTGCTATATTGCAAACCTTCCTGTGAAATGCATCATGTTTTCTGCCAGGGATGGTAGCATTCTATCATTAACCTACTGCCTCTTCTTATCCTTTTTTTTTTTTTTTTTTTTTTTTTTCCTTTTTATAGGGCCAAGCCAGGGGACCCTACTCTCCTGGAAGACCCTAAAATTAAAGAGATTGCTGCTAAACACAGCAAAACCCCTGCTCAGGTACACTGAGATCACTGCACACGTGCATGTTACATCCTCTATAATAATCTGCCTTGCACCAACATTGCAGTCTTTCACAGATACATGCCTTCATGCAGTGACTGTACAAACAGTCCTATTTTAAACATAATGCAGCCTCAGAGGAGGGGTTTGTTGGAACAAACAGCTCAGTCTGGGGAATGGGCAGGACCTGGCAGGGAATAGGGAGCATCTGTGATTAACACAGATTATGCTGACCAGCCTTACAGATGGGCTTTGGGTGTCCCGCAGAAAGTGCATTGTTGCTCATATTCTCTTAATAACAAAAGGGGCTGTAAAAAGATCAAATGAGGTTCAGCCAAACCACCCTTATGAATCCTTGATCCAAATGAACTATTTTTCATGGAAACCTTAGGCTATATCTACACTGGCATGATCTTGCGCAAGAACTCTTTTGCGGAAGAGTTCTTGTGCAAAAACTCTTCCAGAAGAGAGCGTCTACACTGGCATGTGCATTTGCGCAAGAGATGTGCTTTTGAGCAAGAGCATCCATGCCAGTGTAGACACTCTCTTGCGCAAGAAAGCTCTGATGGCCATTTTAACCATCGGGCTTTCTTGTGCAAGAAATTCATGTTGCCTGTCTACACTGGCCTCTTGCACAAGAACAGTTGCACAAGAGGGCTTATTCCTGAGTGGGAGCATCAGAGTTCTTGTGCAAGAAGCCCTGATTTCATACAGTAGAACGTCAGTTTACTTGTGCAAGAACTCGCGGCCAGTGTAGACAGGCAGCAAGTTTTTGCGCAAAAGCGGCTGCTTTCGTGCAAGATTGCGCCAATGTAGACACGGCCTGAGTGTTTTACCGTTAACCAAAGCTGGCAGATGTGTTTGTTTTCCAACATTCACTGTTGTAAACAATGGAGGAAAACATCCCGAGGCTGCTCAATTTGATGATATTTGTACTACTTACTATTTGCTATTCAAACTTTTTTTTTGCTCGTAAGAATGTTTGAGAGAATGACTCTGCATACATATCCCCACACTGACACACAGTCAGCAGTTGTCAGGCACTAATTGTTAAGTGGATTGAAAAACAGGGTCAGTCTTCTCCAGAAATGCTTCATGAAAAAAATTATCCTTTTCTCCCTCCCTTCCCAGTTTGAAGACTTTAAAACTGGGAATCTGAACTGTTCCTTATTTAGCTCCTAAGGCCAGAAAGGGCAAATATGATTGATCCCCTTATATGACACAGTCCTGTTTTCCAAAAACTTCTTGTCTCACTGGGGAGCAGAAACAATGATACTGCAAACAATTTATAGCTGATGTGACTAGCTTTTAAATACACCAGGGGATGTAGTTTGTTTGCACAAACAGCCTGAGGAATACTTCCAAACAATGAATACATTGTCAGAAACTGGAATTGGTTCTGTAAGCCAAACAAGGGTTAAATTTCTAGAAAACTTATTTAGAACAATGAACCAAAAAAAAAAAAAAAACCCACCACCTGCAAAAAAAAGTCCTTGAGTAGCTCTGTTACTGGTAGCTTCTGTGGTATCAGAATTCCTGTTCTTATTCTCAGGTTCTGATCCGATTTCACATCCAGAGGAATGTGGCAGTCATTCCCAAGTCTGACAAACCACATCATATTGAAGAGAATTTTAAGGTAAAGCTTCTAAAGACGACTATTTTTACACCAGTCCATTATAGTAGCAAGATGGAGTGCCACCTTCATATTTTCTCATTTATCCTAAATTAAATTTGATAGGAGCAAGAGAAGGGATAGAGAGGTGGAAATATTTTAGCGCTGCATTTTTAGTTGTGTTCATGTTTTGTGTGAAAATTTGGAGTTGAATTTTGGTTAAATTTAAAATGAGTGAAATGAGTTACTTGCATCTTATTTGTCATACTATGTTTCTAAGTTTCTTAATTTTAAGCTTAAACTGCTGCTGTGCAACTAGAGTTAAACTTCATTTAATCCCTACTTGTATTGTGCTCGTCAACAGATGTCAGAGTGCTTTGCCACGGTGGTAAGGCTCATTAGATAGGGAATTTCAGGTACAGGATGGTGATGTGAGTGACTTGCCTCAGACCACCAAGTAGGTCAGTAGCAGAGCTCAGAATCAACCCTGTGTTCAACCCATGGGGTTGCATTACCCCTCTGTAATTTCATATGAGTAGATTTAAATACCATTAGGATACATGTGCAGAAAAGAGTAGGCCTATTTAGTTTGGAAAGAAGAGGACTTTAAAAGGACTACAATGGCACCGCACTGGTTGATACAATAGAAGTCAGTTGGGAGCGAGCCTCGAATACAAGAATAACGTGACAGGCGTAACTTAAACAATGCATAAATTAATGTGGAGTGCAGTGCCACAATACATATGACACCAAAACCTTAACAGCCTCAAGCACTTCTGGCTGACTAAAACCTCAGCAGTTGCTCAGGACAGGCTAAAAATGTCTTAGCACTCTAATCACTGAGGGTGCGTCTAAACAGCAATACTATTTCAGAATAACTAGCACTATCCCGAAATAACTCAGTCCACAGCTACACAGCACACAGTTATTTTGAAATAATGTGGAAATACTATCAAGCTGGAGGACTTCTTACTCTGACTCCTGTAACCCTCATTGTACAAGGAGTAAGAGAAGTCGGAGGAAGAGTGCTCTATTTCAAAATAAGTGCTGTGTAGATGCTCCCAATTTTGAAATAAGCTACGCAATTGATGTAGCTCAATTTGCATAGCTTATTTTGAGTTAAGCCCTGCTGTGTAGATATACCCTGGAGCATCAGGGTGTAACCCTATCAATACCTGATGGGAGTTGGAAAGAAATCAGCTGAGTAGAAAATTAGGGAATAACGTTCCCCATCAGCTTCCGTGTTCGTTCTTCTGATGCGTGTAGCAAGGATTGCTGGCCTGAAACAGGTATGGTCACCTCGATGCTATACATTTATACAAAGGAAGAAGAAATTCCAGCAAATCTTAGAAGATGATGGGTCTGATCAAACAGACTTTCAGCCTCTTTCTCTCAGGAGAGAAGTTTACTCACCTGCAGACTGCCACTGAAGTCAGTGGGACAACAGGTGAACAGGTACCACGCAAGTCCTCCTTCTTGGACTAGAACTGTTCACTCTGCAGTCCACTGACTTCTGTGGAAATACACATGGGAGTAAAGAGGTAATCTGGCCTTAGAATCTAAGGTGTCTCTTTCCATTGCCTGTTGCAGAAGTCAGGGGACTTCCTTTTAGTTGTGGTCTGGGTAGAACTGAAAGCCAGATGCCACATGAGCAGTTACAGAAGACCTGATGTACATCAGACAATCCTGTATCCTAGTACTATGTATCCCATTATTCTTGACATGAGAGTAGCTGGTGTAATAATGCTTCAGAGGAATTCTTGGTCACCCAATCTGGTACCAGTCACCCCTGCTCAATCAAAATCCTATGTGCCTTAATTTCCAGCTGCTTACAGACCTAACTGAAAGTACTTTTTTCTTTCAGGTGTTTGACTTTGAATTGACTAATGAGGAGATGGAAACCATCCTCAGCTTTAACAGGAATTGGAGGGTGGTTGAAATGCTCAAGTAGGTGGCTTTTCATCTCAATCCTACAGAATGCCAGTCGCTTACTATTGCTTTTAAAAGGCAAGGGCATGGTCCAGCTCCCCTGAAGGCAAGCAAGGCAGGCAAGACCCCAGATTTTAAATCACAGGCTTTGAGTAATAAAGATGAACTTTAGACTCTCCACACTCCAAAACTGTGTGACACTAACTTAGGTCAGCACACAGCCACTGTAGTTGTTAAATTGCTTGCAGGGGTGCTACACATCCTCACTATTAGTGCAGGTATGATCAGTGTGGGACACAGCTCTTGAAAGCCAGTAACAGTCAACAAAAGCAGTGCCTGCACTGATCTTGCATTGAGCTACTTAATGCAACTGAGCATGTACACCAGGAGAGGGGGGATTACTAAATTGGCAGGCGGAAGCACTGAAATCTGGCTGTACTTCCACAAGCAGATTAATACAAACCAGCAGTATGCCTTGATCTAACCTGGTAGTGCAGACCAGACCTTACAATGACTAACAAGAGGAAAATAATCCCTACACTGTCATTTCTTTAGCAGGAACTACCTGCCTCTGTTTGTATGTTCTGGATACCAGTAAGCACTGGTCTCTGACTAAGCTGGAAGTGACGTGGAAGGAGTGAAGGGCTAGGAATGCTTTTAATGCCTCTGCTATAGAGTTGCTTGACTCATCTCTGCCTGTGCACTATTCATACCCTGCCTGCCTTCCTGAGAGAAGGATGTATGTGTAGTTACTCTGAATACTCAGTAACACCCATTCTTTTTTAGAGCTGTGAATCACAAGGAATATCCATACAAAGAAGATTATTGAAGCTGGTGTTTCCTGGGCGCATCTGGCTACTACAGAAGTGGAGCCTCTTCTGCTCTGATTTGTTCTTCTGTACTGAGTGGCCTTCAACTATTGCCTGCCCTTCTTTTACCACCAAACCCATGGTCTGAAAGAAGGAATGTAGCAAAAAGTTGAAGAACAAACCAAACCATTTTGATAGGTTATCTTTTTATCAAAGAGTTGGAGGTACTGCTTTTTGCAACACTACCCAAAAAAGTTCTTTCATTCCTCTTTTCTTTTATATTAAACGCCACTTCCTGTTTAATCACTTTAGAAAGAGTTCAAGGTAGGTTAATACAATACGTCAGTGCAATAAGGGATGCTGTATTAACTACATAACTTTCTATACAGTTACTTATGTCACTTGTCTGTTTGTCCCAGCTGGATAGATAATAATTATGCTGTGCTTAATGTAAGACATTAAACTACTGAATTACTTGAATGAGTGTAGAGATCACTTTACTAAATGGTGCACCAATGGGCTAGGGCAAATGGTTCTGTGATTAAATGACAAAGCCCATCCCTGTATGTAACAGAGTGCAGGGTGAGGAGAATCTCTTTGTTGGCTGTGACTGGAATTGTAGGCGCTTGGGGCTCAGTGGGGGAATGGATGGGAGAAAGTGTCTCTCAATGCTGGACGTCTTGGACATAAAGCCAGATTATCATGAGTACTTCTGGGGTGATCAGTGAACATTTAGACAAGCCGTGGATCTCTCAAATGTTAGGTGAACATGGATAAAGCATGTTTTAAAGGATTGGAGTTGCATATAACCCCCAAATTAATTTTTTTTTCAAAATACTTAATGCATCACAGGTGAGCTAAAAGCCTGTGGTGTCCCTAAAGTAGAAAACAATTTGAGGACTCAGAATACCTAATGACACCAAGCAGTGCAGCTAGATGGTGCCTGTTTTCAGACACTTCTGCAAATTATTAGAGTTTTAGAAAGAAAAAATCTATTGAGACATTTTGAGTACTGTTGAAGCAATAGTCATTTTAAGTTTACTTAGCCTATTGTCTTTAGCTAGCTAGCACCATCTCATGGAGTAACAGCTGTAAATGAATCTTAGCAAGAGACATCACCTCTAAGAATTTTTATAAAAGTTAAGTGAAAATGTTAGAGGTTGCCTGTACAACCTTAATTCTTCCCCGTGTGCCTTGATTGAGGCAATGGTTCATATTAACGTGTATATACCCAAAATAAGGTTATATAGACAATTAGAGCTAACTTACCTATCTTACTTAAACCTAGAAGATTTTTCCTGGCATTGCTCAGGTCCTAAACAAAAACTCAGTTAATCTTCATTTAAAGCATTGCTCTTGAGTGAGGCTGGCACTGAGGGGGTTTAATATGCAGCTGCCCTGGAGAGAGGACTACCCCAGTCCTCTCTCTGCAGCAGCTTGGGGCTAGGTGAGAAGCACCTGTCCATAGCTGCTGCAACAAGCACAGCCAGGAGAAGGGTGCATGTCTCCCAGCTGGGGGAAAGACAGACATAGAAACTCAGAAATATATAGGAGATAGCTGTCCCTTTCTCCACCCTGCCCCCTGCTAGCCCAGTGAGGTTATAGCTGTCCTGATCCCCATCTCTGGCCCCCCGCTGTCCTCCTGTGGTCATTCTACAGTATAATTGTCCCTTCTACCAAATCCCTCCCTTTCCATTTTATGAGAAACAATTGAATTCCAGGCACATCCCATTATCCTGGCAAAACCAAACCCTGACCTTGTCTGAAGATAAGAGGAAGCTCCATACCAAACTTTGTGGTCATAGTTCTTACCATTTAGGAGAAGTTCTTGAACAAATGGACTTACACATGCATTTCTAAAATATATAATGAGAGATTACCTAGATTATTTTTTTTGGTAGTTGCACAGAGGAAAAGAATCCTTTTTCCCCCCAATCAGGTTTTGAACTCTGCACTAAGGATGATAAGGACTAGTCGACTATATGACAAGCAAATGCTTATCAGATAATTGAGTTGACTAGTCGATCCCTACCCCCATGCCTCTATCAGATAGAGGCAGCAAAGGGGGGAGAGGGAGTACTTCAAAGGGGCAGTGCTGCCCCTGTTAGCTGCATACGGCGCTGCCACTTTGAAATGCTGAAGGGGTAGTCAAAGGGGCAGCACCACACTGCTGAGCTCAGGCTCCGTGCAGCGCTGCCCCTTTGCAATGCTGCAGCAGCATTTCAAAGCAGCAGCACTGTGTGGAGCCTGGGATCATCTAGGGAATCCCCAGCTGGGGAAATGCCACGCAGAATCCAGGTCAGCTGGGGAGTCCCCAGCTGATCCTGGATTCTGCAGAAATGCTGCAAGGACCCTGGAATCAGCTGGTGAGTTCCCAGCTGATCTCGGGCTCCACATGGCATTTCAAAGTGGCAGCGCAGTATGGAGCCCAGGGTCGGGGGGGGGGACTCTGAGTCCCCTGCTGACCCCAGGCTCCATGAGGGTACTCGGTTGGGGACTCTTGTGCATTTCAAACCCGGCATGTCCTTGTGCAAACCATAGTCAGCGGAACCTCCCAGTGGCCCTGGGCAGCACTCAGGGTTCCATATTCTTCCTTTGAAATGTACAAGAGCCCCAGCGGGGTCTCCTAGGCACTTCCACATTCTTCCTTTGAAATGTCCATCGACTAGTGAATTAATCATTAGTTAACATCCCTACTCTGCACCTTCGGCATGAATAAGGACAAAGCATTCTCCATACTCAGGATAGCTATGAGACATGGGCAAACATACATCCCTCCCCACCCCCTGTCTAATGTAAAACCAGGTGACGATTGATGTGTATATCTGTGCCAGCGGGGTCAGTATTTCAGCACTGCTTCTAATATTCTCATCTTCGAGCTATGGGGCACTTGTTACCTAGAGCCCCTAGTTTAGGAGCACAACCTATGTTTTGCAAAGCTCTCCTTTCCTAGTATAGCTCTGATCAAAATCTACCCAGCGCTTACTGTGGTCCACATTGACAATCTTTGCAATACATCAGCTCTCACAGGGTGTAAGCAGCACCATTACTTAAAATACTGCATCATTTTCTCCCAGAATGCGGGGAGACTGCTTTTTCCGTATGTCGGGGCTCACTTACCTCCTCTCCAACACACATCCAGTGTATACAAACCTTACCTTTTAGAGTCTTCTTGGAGGAATGGAGGTGAATGACTTCCCCACATAAGACTAATTACCCAATTAACCTGTGGATGGAGTTAATTTAATGTCACTGCCACTCCTCTTCCATAAAAAAGCATACACTTTTTGCATGATGATGAGAAAAATGGTGACAGTGCTAGGGCCTCTTTTTCAGTGATTCTCAAGTCTGTGTCAACAGTTCGCTCTACCCTGCTTCTGGCAGCTCTAAGTTCCACTGGAGTGGGAGACCTCACATTCTTTTGCTGCAGGTTGAAACTTGGAGTTAGTGTTGTGCTCGCCCCCCCTGAGATCACAAAGGAAATCAATCTGCAACTCACTGAGCCTTCCTCTACTGCATCAAGAGGCCTATTAGGCTTAAGAAGGCTCCTTCATGCCTGCAGACACAATCCCAATTTTTGAAGCTGGAACAACTCAAGTTTTATATACAAAATGCTTTTCCAAGTAAGACCACAAGGGATTGTACAACTGTATCCATCCTTACAAAATAAAATATACTGAAGTGGAACAGAACATGGCTACTTTGTATCATGAGTTTTCTATTTCAGCCCTGCTTTCTAAATCTATTCAACAATATAAATGCTGAAACATCTTAATTATTTCTTCTCTGGTGTAAAAGACTGTGGCTTTGTCTACACGGCAGCTCTTGCGCAAAAACATGCCGCCTGTCTACACTAGCCGCACATTCTTGTGCAAGTAAACTGACATTGTACTGTAGAAAATAAGGGCTTCTTGCACGAGAACTCTGACACTCCCTCTCAGGAAGACGCCCTCTTGCACAAGAGCTCTTCCAGAAGAGGCCAGTGTAGACAGGAAACATGAATTTCGTGTGCAAGAAGCCTCTATAGTTAAAATGGCCATCAGAGCTTTCTTGCGGAAGAGAGCATCTACGCTGCCATGGATGCTCTTGCGCAACAGCACATGCCAGTGTAGATGCTCTCTTGTGGAAGAATTTTTGCACAAGAACTTTTCCACAAAAGAGTTCTTGCGCAAGAAGCTGCCAGTGTAGACCTAGCCTGTAGGTCTAATGTACTGTGGCAGGGCACTGCCATGCACTGGTCCTTTAAGGGGCTGGGAGCTGGAGTGAAGGAGGGAAGCCCAGCTGGAGGCCATATAAAGCAACTCCTGGAAGGAGGAGAGAGACCTGCCTGCAGCGAGAGAGGCTTTGGCCTAGCAAACCCAGGCTACCCGGCCTGAGACCCTAGGAGCTGCAAGGAGGCAGTCCTGGAGGGCAGGGCTTGCATGGAGGCAGCCCTAAAAGGCTGGGCTGCAAGGAGGCAGTAGTGGTAGGCTGGGGGAGTTTGAGCCAGGTAAGCCCGAGGCCATAAGTCCACAAGGCAAGGTTGCAGGAGGCAACAGGGCAGGCAGAGTGGGAGAAGAACTGGGGGTCCTGGGGAGTAGGGAGGACGCTGGAGGAAGAGAGAAGGAAGAACAATGACTCCCTTCCCTCTGCCCGCCCCAGAAGGGGGCGCAGACGAAGACTGGAGTGGTCACTGCTGGAGGGCAGTGCCCGGAAGAGAACACCTCACCCAAAGGGGGCGCATTGGCGTCGGAGCAGCCAGTTACTTCCCCACGAGCCACCGTGAGGGAAGACGCTGTGCGGAAAGTGAGTGAACCCACTACAGTATATAGCATCTGTGTTATGCCTAAACCCACTGTCCTGCTTTCCAATGAGGTGTTTTAAATCATTACACAGACAGGGATTGTTGATGGAAATATTCCATTTATTATTGGTGCAGTTTCAGAGTATATTGTTTGAACAAGTCATGTTTATTGCAGCTATCAAATGTATTTGAAAGATTCAGAGAAAAGTGTTTACAAAAACCCAAGACAAAAAACATGACAATTCAGAAACAATGCCAGGCATTGTTTGCACAGTTTCACCCCCTACAGATAGCCAAGTGCATCTCAATATGTAAACAAGATGTTTCAGCTAAGCAGGGGAGCTCATCTTTGGACTGAAATACTATATTCTCCCCCTCCTTTAATAAAAAAGTCAGCTGCTACAACAAACATGCTACAAAAAAAGTAGTGACGAAGAAGTTCTCTGTAGTTCCAATGCATAAAGCTGTTAAGCATTTTAGGGCTACTTCAGTTAACTAGTTTATTCCACCCATATACTGGAGGCTGTAAATGCTAAACCGTATGGCATGTAAATTCAAACCAAGCTGACTTATAGCTGTGATTACTATATACAAATCAAACAAAACATCTGGGAATAAGAACTTTGGGAGACAGCTAAAAACACCGTAAGTAGAGGCTTACTTCACTTTGACTAGGTAGGTGGACTTAATATACGGCACTGATGAATGGCAAGATTTAGTGTACAGTAATTTAAGCGCCAACTGTGTTCATTTTTTTAATTATGGTAGTTTTACATAAATTAAACTACGATGTTTTATACAAGTTACCTACTTTTTGATCCTCTATACCCTTATTTTCCTCTCTTTAAAACTATAGTTTTCTTCTCAATTACCCATTACTGGGCATCTTAAAAAAATTAATACTCATCTTGCCATACCTCTAATGGCAAAATTATGAAATCTTACTCTAGAAAGGATTGTGACTTTTGTAAAAGCTGTGATATCGGCTAATTATGTGCATTCATTACTAAATATAATACTCTAGCATGTATTAAAGCATTCTACCATTAGTAGTGCCTTAAAGCTAAACTTTGTCAAGCTATGTGTATATATTGCAGTCAATTACTAATCACTAACAAAAATAAAATATCAGTACCGCTGTCAGCTAACAATCATCCAAATTTAGGTATTAACTTAAACTAGAATGAAAAAAATTGATAAAGTATAAAACAAAAATTTAAACACGTTATGGATGCAGTATTTGACATGGGCAACTTACAGAAAATATTACATTGTCAACTAAAGATTTTCTTCCATGCCTTAGTCTAAAGTGCAGAAAAAGACTTCTGTATTCCAAAAGTAACCACTGTTTTTAATAGGTTTACTGCACACTTTTCTTAAGTAATTCAACTTTGCACGCATTTGGGGGTTGACCTCTTACGCTAGTTGAAATCATGTTTCAGACACATAGTCATGACTATCAGTAGGAGAGTAGTTCACAGCATGGGTTTCTTTAGGAATAAAGGCTCTTGTGCAAAGGCAGTACTATTATGATGTATGTCTAGATGGATTATTAAATACAGTGCTAATATACATGGTTTTAAATGGGATAATGCAAAAAAAAGACATTTTGGTAAATAAACATAAATATAAAAAGGACAATTTAGCACTTTTTCAAAATGAATTGGTCCAGCATCTTTAGTAGCCTCCTATGGTTCTTTCTCAAATTGTCTCACACCTGCTGAAAGAGAGAATGATTAAAGATTGCTTGAAAACAGTGATGTATCTCTAGCAACACAGAGTAGGCAGTTCTGCCTTAACTTGCCACAGCCCCCTTCACCTCAGGCCACCTGCTAAGGAGCAAGACAGCACAGCCCTACTAGTGAGCTACATGGCCTGCTAGCACACACCGAGGTACTGCATGACCCTCAGGGCGGATGGGTAGGATCTCACACAGACACTTACTCGCATCTGGCAGCAGCCAGTATCTTTCAAGGAGCATCACAGAACACATTCCCCACCCAGCATTTCCTCAATCATTTGTCTGCCACTGCTGAATGGAGGCAGATTGCCCCAGCACATCTTCTTAGTCACTATAGTCCCCATCCCCAGGAACAAGTAAATGATTCTACAAGTGACGTAAAGCGTGGCCTACTAACCCAGAGAACGGGGGATACCAATCCCTGTTCTCAATATTGACCTTCCCTTGACACGTGGCTTTGGGTAAGCCAGTTAAGTGGGTATTGCCACAATGGCCAAGCACAAGTCTAGCTCTGCAACCAGGGAAGTCAATGGTAGACTTGCCCTTGATTTCCAAGAGAGTAGAGATAGGCCAACACTAAGCAATTTATGAAAAATCGTGTTTTAATTTCACTGTAAAATAAGAATAAGATCCACCTAACAGGAGTGATAGGAGAGTTAGTTTGTATAGGCATTGCAGCTAGTGGTGTAAGACAGATGTCTAATACTGGAAAAGCCCACAAAATGGATGCTGTTCTCTCCCATTTAAGTCAGTGTTTTCACAGGTGGTTCGGTTTGTTCCCAACACATATCACAGTTTTAAGCGATTCCTACTGAATGGGCTTCTGATCAGTTTCAAATTGTTTATTATCCTGTTTTCCCTACTCCTCTTCCACGGACGCTCATTTCCTCCACCTGGTTTTCCTTTGGAGAGGTTTGGAATACAAGTAGGCTGTGTCTACACTGGCAAGTTATTCCGGAAAATCAGCCGCTTTTCCGGAAAAACTTGCCAGCTGTCTACACTGGCCGCTTGAGTTTCCAGAAAAGCACTGACGATCTCATGTAAAATCATCAGTGCTTTTCTGGAAAAACTATGCAGCTCCCGTTCGGGCAAAAGTCTTTTTCCGGAAAACTGTTTTTCTGGAAGACAGCACAGTAGTGTTTTCCACAAAAAAGCCCCAATCGCGAAAATGACGATCGGGGCTTTTTTGTGGAAAAGCGCGTCTAGACTGGCCACGGACACTTTTCTGGAAAAAGTGCTTTTCTGGAAAAGCGTCCTGCCAATCTAGACGCACTTTTCCGAAAATGCTTTTAACGGAAAACTTTTCCGTTAAAAGCATTTCCGGAAAATCATGCCAGTGTAGATGGAGCTGTATAGTCTGTACAAAAAAAAGCTAGCAGAGGGTCTGTTACTTCCCCACCCACAGCACAGCTGTCAGCCGATTTATTTCAAACGTGTGACTCATATAGGACCAACATAGAAACACTAAACAGAGTTTATGCTGTACGAAGGTGCCTAGGCACTTTTGCGGCGAGAGAAAGTCTGAGGCTGAGAGCATTTGACCTCAACTCCAATTCAAGTCTGGGGCATGGAGGGCACCCAGCAACTCATGAGACCAAGATTTAAGAGTCAACAAGTGACGGCATGATCATTTATCATGAGACTTTACCCATGGCTGATAATACAGTTCAGAGTCATCTTACTGTTTTGTTTTCGTCAGCCCTCTGGGTTTCATTCCTAGTCGGTGAACAACACTACAACTCTAGACCCACTCAGTGCTTTAAAAAATAGTTTTGATGAAAATAATTGGCAGGGACTATTCTCAGGTGCCTAACATCTGAGAGTGCTGTTAAATGACAGACCAATTCTTCAGGTCTCAAACAGTTCAGGGGCTCACTGATAACACACTAGATGGGCTATTCGCAAATATGTAAATAGGGCTAGAGAGCTGTCATCCCAAAAGGAAGATGTGTGCTTAATCCTCCAAACTAACTGTCAAATTACAATCTGTGGCAATTCATTTTTGGAAGTCAAAGGAAGAACTGTTTCTTGGGTGCCACTGCTTGTGTGTCATAATTTGAAAAGCTGGCTGCATTGGTATAAAATCTGCAAAAGCTTCCATTTAATGTACAGTACAATTTCTCACAACACTTACCATTAGTCTCTGACTTTTTCCCCAGAGCTGTTACCTGCAGTTCAAAAAAATTATAATAAAGTTATCATTTAAGAAAGGTGAGTGTAGGAAAAAATAGGTTAGGCAGAATGGAAAGAAATTTTGTGAAAAGGGCCAACACCAGGTCTCTGTGTTCTTCAAAACAGGCGCTAAGTACCTTTTGCTCTGAACATTAAAGGATGAATTTCCTCTAATACTATGGACAAAAAGGGGAAGATTTTCAAAAGGCACAAAAGAGCAATTAGAGGCCCAACTCCTCCCAAATGCTAGTCAGAGTTAGATATCTTGTGCCTTCTGAAAGTCTCACACAGTGTCTTTGTTCTCTCTCTGATGGATACAGAAGTATTACCTTAGAAGGAGAGGTTGCCTTTTCATTTGACTGCTTCTCCCAGAGATTACGTTTGTTGGATACATCTCCTGGTCTTAAATCCTATTTTTTGGAGGAGTCAAAGCACAGGAAAAAAAACATAGCTCAGATTTGTTTTATGAAGAGTAATAAAGGCTGTACTGTAACCTCCCACAGAAATACCCACACATTAGGTCTGTGCAAACCTCATTCGTAATGGGTTTTCATAGATGTACAATAACTGAAAGCAGAACTTGGCCTGTAGTACCTTCACACATAACTAATTTATATGCTTTTTATTTCTGTGTTAAATACTATACAAGGAAGAAGAGAATGGAAAAGTGGTAAAAAGCAAACAATATATTCCTCATTTCCAGACCAGAGGATGGGTTATTCAGCAGTTACAAATAGTATTTGATCTCCTTTAAGACCTTAAATACGGAGTTCACTGCCCAGTCCCAGTATTTTTTTTTCTTTCGAACAGAGTTAAGTACAGGGGAAATAATTTGAGTACACAGCATTTTTCATCAGGTAACAAGATATGACTCTTTACAAGATCATCCAATATACATAGCCCTGTAGTACAAAACCCTTCCTGAGTCCATCTAAAGTTCTGCTAAGATGCATGTTATTGTAGTATATTCGCACAAGAAGGCAGAGTAAAGGCTGATGTATGAACATTTTTCCCTTGGAGAATTTCAATTTTGGTGAACTTGTTTCAATGTTTCTATTGAGGGGGGAAATATTAAGTCTCAGGTAGGTTTGAGCTGATGCCGTTAATTGAACAGAACCAAAACATTTTCTCATTTAGAAACAGCTCAACATTACAATAAATCTAACGGAGATGCCTCAGAACTTCATGGGAGTTGCAACTGGATGTTTCGTGCCCCCATTCTCTCCCATGGTTTGGTCTCCTTGACTGGGCCATATCTTCTCAAGATACAATACGTTCTTTGAGCATTGTGCCTTATGGGAATCCTATACAGTGGTGCATCATGGGACATGTAGTCTAGCCAGAGAACATGGATAGCTCTGTATAGACAAGTGAGGTGTCTTTAAATGTAAACAAACTCTGTAGTCTCACCCAGAGCAGGATCAGAAATGATACATTATAAAAGGTAATAGCAAGGACCCTCTGTACATAAACAAGAGTAGCTTCTCCTGTCCATTCTCCAGTCAAGATTTTGTCATCTAACATTTAACCATAAACCAGTGGTTCTCAAACTTGTTGGCTCACTCAAAGCAGACCTTTCTATGACCACTAGCCAACCACCCACAATGACAAAATTGGTGCAAGAGGTGGGAGTGCTGGGTCTGATGGGAGGTAGGGTGCAGAAGTAGGGTGGAGGGGTCTGAGTGGGAGGGAGAGTGTAGGAATGGAGTGGAGGTCTGGGAGATACAGTGGTGTGTAAGGAGGATAGGGGTGTGGGGTCTGGGCATGAGCGGGATGGGGGCACTTACCTGACTTTGTGACTCCTACTGCTATCAGACAGTGCCCCCACTGCTCCCATAGGCTGTGATTCTGGCCATGGGAGCAGCAGTGAAAGCCTGCACTTAAGTGGTTTCCTGAGCTGCCATTACCCCAGCCAGGGTGCTGGGGAATGGCAATACACAGAGATGTTTCCTCCCCCTACAAGCCGGATCTGGCCCCTCACTTCAGTGGGAAGCCAGTGCTGACACTCCAAATTTGCAGAGGGAGTGTGGGGGTAGGCTGGAGCACCGGTGCTGGCTCCCAAATGCAGAGAGGGGCAAGCCCTGAACCAAAGGCTCACCTGCAAGATGGTCGTGGACCACTAGTGGTCAGCGGACCATGCCCTAGAGGACTGACTACAGGACTCGTGTTCTCAAGTTCATTTTGGGTGGGTTTAAGTTAGTTAATGCCTATTACACCCGCTGCCATGTAGGACAGCAACGTGAATAAAGACATCCATATCCTGATGCTAGGAGGGAAGAGAAGATGGTTTGGGAATTGATAGTCTTGGTTTCTCCTTGGCTTATCCCAAAAGCATTACAAGAAATGTAGGTTTTTGTTCACAGTGAATTCTGAATCAATTTACCTGACTAGCAAAGAGACCCCAATCCAGAAAGAACAGAAGGAAGGAAAGCATCTAGAGAAGTCCACACAAGCAGAGATATTGAAAGGAAAGAGAGCAATCCGCTGCGAGGGAGAGAGAGAAGAAAGGTGCGGTTGAGGAAAGGAGTCATTCGTTCTGCATTGTTTATTAATACATAGCTTAGAAAAAAGAAGCAAAACCCAAAGAGACAAGAACCAGATTCTATATCACATCACCATGGTCGCCATTAAACAGCTACAGCGATCATGTTCTATTCTGACGCTGCTAAATTCAGCTACCATGCAACCGTTAGCAAATACTGATTTTAAGAGCAACCAGTCAACTCCAAGTAAATCTAGTGAAGGCAACATGGGTGTAAATCACAAGCACAATGTAGGCTAGCAGTGATCTGGCAAGTAATTGTACATGTACTGAACATACTACACAATGTGCATAATGGACTCTTTTTATACAATACCAAAATAAGATGAATCCCTAAATATGATCCAATGGAGGCCTTCACCCTGCTATTCATTAGAATACACACCATTCTTTCCCGATGCAGGTAAGTAAAGGAGTCTAGAGAATTGGCTATTTCTGTTCTTTCCTCCCTAAACTCCTTTTATCTTCTTTTCCCCTGCCCTCTTGGCAGCGGCTGAAAGACTTTTTTTTCCCTTTTTCCTTCATTTGTAGCTTGCTATCCTTGTACCCAACTGAGAAGAAAGTTATGTGAAGTTTAGAGTGAAGGCAACTATCAGTGGTCTGGGCCAGGTGCTCCTTACAGAAGAGGTGAACGATAAAGACATTTGGGACAATGGGCTGCAGTCCTGCAGTAGTAACACTTGTAGTTGCTACACATACGGAGTTGCAAATGAAGCCCAGGATTTGAATTTCCCGGGCTTCATTTGCATAAAGCCGGCCAGCGCCATTTTAAAATGCCGGCTAGGTCGGACCTCGTGCCGCACGACTACACGCGGCACGGACTAGCTAGTTCGGATTAGGCTTCCTAAACCTCATTCCACGAGGCGTACAGCTAGTTCGGATAGGAAGCCTAATCCGAACTAGCTAGTCCGTGCCGCGTGTAGTCGTGCGGCACGAGGTCCGACCTAGCCGGCATTTTAAAATGGCGCTGGCCGGCTTTATGCAAATGAAGCCCGGGAAATTCAAATCCTGGGCTTCATTTGCAACTCCGTATGACTACATTACCTCCCCCCCCCCAGTTCGAACTAGGGGGGTAGTGTAGACATACCCTTAGGGATTACTGTGGCAAGGAGGAGGAAAAGTTTGCAGCTTTCATTTATTTTGGGGGGCAAGGGAGATGATCCAGGGACATGCAAGTTTTCCAAGCTCTGTTGCTCCACTCCTCTAAATTAGCTGAAAGTTATGACGTCTGGAAGCACAAAGTCAAACACTGGTTCAGAAAGCTTAAGTACAACAAACTAACATACTACTTGTATATTCACCATTTTATGATCCGAGTCTCATTTACACCAAGGATATAGACAATTCGGGCATTTCAATAGCCTGCAAGTTCCTCTCGGAGGCAAATCATCCAGTATTTCACCAACAGGTCATGGCTGTTTATTTACAGATTCATGGTGCAATATCTGAGGCTTCAAGTTAACATTCTCCTCTGTAACATGACCCCACACAACTTTTCTAGAGTATCCATCCATGCAGTTACCAAGGACACACCATCTCCATGGTGAGCGCTGTTCTGGTACCATCATTATACACAGGTTCTTAGCGTTAGTGCGTCAATCAGGTCAAGCCTCCAAGGAGCCATCTACTTGCTGACATAGCCCATTAGTTTCCTATCCTTCTCTCACTGACCTAAGTTCAGACTCATCATTCAGAAGCTAGTTACTACAGTTCTACTTACAGAAGGTTTCGAAGCAGGTGATTTGTTGGTGTCTGGGGTCTTAGTTAACCATTCATTGATACGACTGGACACGCCAACCTTCAGTCCAGCGGTTTCCTGCAAAGTAGTTATTTCAAATCAGGTTTTTTTAAGAGTACTTGTGCCTAAGGGCTCTATGATTTGGGAGTTAAAAAAGCAAAACTCCATGGTTAATAAAATTTTCCTCAGAGAATATGTCTGATGGTGATACAGCCTTCAATTTGCAGGGCTAGCCCACCACATCTGGAAAATACAGTAATCGTGTGACTAAACCCCTGGAGAGCATTCCATGAAGCTCCCATCAATCACTAAGCATCCATGGCTGCTTCTATCCTCACTCCAAATTGTACAAATGAGATCTTTAGCCCAAACAGAGGAATAACTAGGAAATTACTCCATCCAGGTTTTTTTAAACTGGAATTCTGAAATAAAATATAATCAAAGTCAGCCAAAATCAACCAACATTTCTAAAACTATTTGGCCAGAATTTTCAAACATGGGCGCATTGAGTTAAGTGTTAAAATTCATATTTAGTACCACACACAACATGAGTACATTGATTTGTAAAAAAAAAAAAAAAAAAAAAGGAAAGTTCACCTATGAATTCAGAGCCAGACATGGAATTCAAATATTCCAGTGATGCTTTAAAAAAAATTGAGTAAATTTTCTAGTAGAATATGACCTAATAAAAACATCTCAATTCTGAACTTTTTTGTACATGGCTTAAGTCCTGCCAATTACAGCCATGTAAGATATCAGAGGTGTGATGTCAGAGGATAGCTCTTAACTAAACCTATTTTGCAATACATTTCCCTCTTGCTACCTACTGTTCTGGTCTTACTGTTCTTCTGTAGGCCATTAGGGTAGCTGGATCTTTGAGGATCCAGTTCTTCAAGATTCTGAGCACCGTCTTCTATCTTTGACTCCAACAAGACCGCTCACAGACACAAGGGTTATTCATATAAGTAAGCAATGAAGGAACTATCCTTAGTGTACTTCTATTTAAACATGCAGAATAGGAAGACATACCTTATTTGGTGTCCCTGGCCCAGAGGGTGATGAGAAAACATTCCCTTTCTCCCACATGCTTTTGATATTACGGACACCCTCCGCTGGCACTGGAAGGTCAGAGGGTGCTGGTTTAGCAGGTTTGGGAGTTTTTGTGCCCTGCAATGGACAGATGCTAGTTAGTGTTTACAACGAAGGCCTTGGTGCTGAGTGCATTTTACAGTGTTGGGGCATAAGTGAAGTACCTTTAAAGCTGAATGAAGTTTCATTGATGACTATGCATGTTATAATGCAAAATTAAGACGCTTAGCAAAGAACCTCACATGTTTGAAGTGCAGTTGTTTAAGTCAGTACATTCATTATGATCTGGACTATCATTCATGCAGATTTTACACACATGGATTTACCAGGCTTATGGTAAACTGTAGCTGATGGTATAAAGGTTTATAAAGTAGTGCTTACAGCTGATCCAGAGTTTTATTTGGCTTTAAAATGGTTTCTCCCCCTGCCTCCTTCCACCAATTTGCCTTTGGACTGCAGCACAAATAAGCAAGGAAGGCAGCTGTAAACGGCTGATATGCTGTCCAGTGTGTCCAAGCTGCTCTGTCTGGTACTGACAAGTTAACCCTGTCTGTGAGATTTATCACTATACCCAACAGTTGAACATTGCTGCCAGGAGCAACTTCTGCAGAGTGACCAAAACGCAAGACACAATCCCCTCTTCATTGGCAACATTCACAAGTACTGTAAAATAGGTGAGGGATGTGCGTAACTGGATGTCAAAGTAGTTGCCTTGTGTCTCTAATTATAAGGGAAGTTAGACCACTCACCCCTAGAAACCAGAAAATCAGGAGTCTGGCGCCAGAAGTTTAGGGCCAGACCGTGGTAGGAAATCACAGGTTACATTGGTTCTGAACGGTGCAATATTTCCCTTACCTCATAGAGCAATAGCTTTATGTCCAATGTAGTACAAAGGACCAGATCCCTAGATGCTCCAGATCAGCACTGAAGTCAATGGAGCAACACCATTTACATTTGTTGACAAGCAGGACCAGTATACCTGGGATCGCAGCCATGGCTGCATGCTTTGAAATAGCACAGCCCAATCTCCCCACCGCATGGGACCAGCTTGTCTAGCTGTTCTTGATGGACAGAGCCACAACTCCACCCTGACCCATTCACACTTTGAGGAGTCTAACATCTAGCTCTGGCACTCAATCCAAGTTGGCATGCTCAGAGATTACATTTTACACACGGACAAAAAGGGCCAGAGTGGAGCTGGAAGATACAGATATGTCCTGTTTCTTTAAAACTAACAGCAGAGATCAGAGAAATAAGAACTAGGTATATAGTTCTAGTGAAAACTCAGAAGGGAGAATAAGGCCATGACTATACTAACAAGAAGATTGACACTGCAATGGTCCGATCTTCCGGTGTTCGATTTAGCAGGTCTAGTAAAGGCCCGCTAAATCAAACATGGGGGATGCCCTGTTGACACGGATACACCTCAATTCATATTTGCTCCTGTTGACCTCCCACTCTGAAGCCGGCACGAAAGATCGAATTAAGGTACGTCAACTCCAGTTAATTTAAGTGAAGAAGCTGATGACAGGCCCAACAAAGAAAACAACAGGTCACCACCTGTCATCACCTATAGCCCACAACTTAAACCCTCCAGCGCATTGTTAACAATCAACGACCTATCCTGGAAAATGACCTCTCAATCTCACAGGCCTTCGGGGACAGACCAACCCTCACCTACAGACAACCCCCTAACCACAAACACATTCTTCCCAGCAATTATGCAGCATACCTCCATTATACTTATCCAAGAACCCACCCCTGCAACCAACTCCGGTGCCAACTCTGTCCACACATCTATACAAATGACATCATCACATGACCTACCGACATAAGCCACCACATCAGAGGCTCATATAACTGTGCATCCACTAATGAGATCTATGCCATCAAGTATCAGCAATGCCCCTCTGCCATGTATATTGGCTAAACCGGACAGTCTCTATGACAAAGGATTAATGGACACAAATCAGATATTCAAAAAGGTGACACACAGAAACTTGTTGGGGAACATTTTAACTTGCCTCGGCACTCACTAATGGATCTAAAAGTGACCATATTATTACAAGCCAATTAAAAAAAACAGCTTGAAAGGGAAGCTGCAGAACTTAATTTCATTTACAAGTTTGATACCTGCAATAGAAGTTTAAACAAAGACCTTAACTGGATTACCTGCTACATTCCACATCCTAAAGACATAATAAGCCAAGCACCAGGTACTTAAGAGAACTTAGAATCCACTCTACTCTAACTGTCAATTTTTGCAATCTGGACCCCTTAACTCCTTTCATCGGAAGAAGTGGGTTGTGCCCATGAAAGCTCATGATACCATCTACATGTTTTGTTAGTCTCTAAGGTGCTGCAGGACTATTCATTGTTTTTAAATTTTTTCAGTACAGACTAATACGGGTGCCCCTCTATATCATTTGGTAATAACTTACCTCAATTGCACTGGTGTATTGCTCAAGTCTGCTGTCAATCTTGGAGACAACTGCTGCAGGGTGAGTGGGTTTAGCACCACTGTTTTTAGAAAGGAGAAAACAGAAGTGATTCTTACAATCCAACACTTTGCTGCTATGATTTAGTCTATTACACAGTTCATTGCTTTACCTCTTCTGAGCGGATTTGTTCAAAAACTCTGCCCGTTCTTCTATCTAGAAACAGAAGGATAGAAGTGATGTAACTATTTAACTGCAAAGTCTGCAGCCCAAAATAAGTACAAGGGCCTGTAGTGACACACAGATCCAAACAACAGAAGACTGCCTCAAATTCAAATCACTGCAGCAACACACAGAGACATTTACCACTGAGAACCCTATTTTTTAAGAAACACATTTGCAGGAGTTGGGGGAATTATGCAAGTTAACACATGTACCTCCTTCATGTTCTTCAGTCTCCCCAAGATGCTATATTTACAAGAGTAAGCACCTAGTGAAGGAGGGGTGAAGGGAAGGGAGGATGTACAGGTCACTAATGGGTTGATGGGAGTCAGATTATGTGTCCAAATTTGTTTAAGGCAAATTAAACAAGTTTTCCACAGTAGACACATCAGAGCAGGCCAGATCTGGAGCTGAGCCATGTACCTCTATCCCATACATTTTAATGAGGAGAAGTAAATTGATTTTTGGACCCAAACTGCCAGTCAAAGCATCCTTTCCTTCTACACAGCACAGTCACCTCTGAGTTAATATTTACCAATTGCCATGTTGTCTTTCCTAACACAGTTATTTTTTAGTCTCTGTATACGGAAATAGTGTAGTATCTCTGGGTATGTCTACACTACCCCGCTAGTTCGAACTAGCGGGGTAATGTAGGCATACCACACTTGCAAATGAAGCCTGGGATTTGAATTTCCCGGGCTTCATTTGCATAAGCAGGGAGCCGCCATTTTTAAAACCCCGCTGGTTCGAACCCCGTGCAGCGCGGCTACACGGGGCACGAACTAGGTAGTTCGAACTAGGCTGCCTAGTTCGAACTACCGTTACTCCTCGTGAAATGAGGAGTAACGGTAGTTTGAACTAGGAAACCTAGTTCGAACTACCTAGTTCGTGCCCCGTGTAGCCGCGCTGCACGGGGTTCGAACCAGCGGGGTTTTAAAAATGGCGGCTCCCCGCTTATGCAAATGAAACCCGGGAAATTCAAATCCCGGGCTTCATTTGCAAGTGCGGTATGCCTACATTACCCTCCTAGTTCGAACTAGGAGGGTAGTGTAGACATACCCTCTGATACTGGTCAACCATGGAGGTCTCAGGAGAGACATCCTAAGTCTCCAGATAATTTCAGGACAGAGGGATTGCATCCCTGCCAGAAGTTATGTGAGAGAAGGTTTGCTCCACTGTCTAGGCTGGAGGAGGTCTGGTGGAGATGATGGAGTCAGTGCCAACAATTTCGTCTCCTTTTACTTCTCTCTGTCAGTATACACCTGGATGGACCTCCTCCCTGCTCTGCAGTTGGCTTGACAGCTCCTTTCGGGAGCGACTGCAAGAACAGCATGAGTACAGGAGATAGCTGATCATCAGTTATCCCAGAATTTGGTTTAATGTGGATTTACCAGCATCTCCATGTACTGTTTCCAACTACTATTGCCCTTGAATCTTCAAAGTTGAAGCAATGACAACTAACTTAAGACCATTCACTTACATGGTGCTGGATTCTCCCCTGCACTCTCCCTCCTCATCGCTATATAAAATTAGCTAACTCCATAGCACACCTTAAGTTCAAAGGGTTGGAAATTCCACAACTCAGGACCACAGAAGCAGGGAGTCAGGAAGTTCCCGTTAGTTCTGAATGAGAAACTAAGTGAACCAATCCCAGTGACTTTGATGCATATTTCCAGGGCATCTCAAATGCTCCACACTGATCTAAGACACATTCTTTTCCCAGCAGTTGATCTCAAAAGATGGACTATTACTCGCCCATGTCTCAGAGCCAAATACATTCCTGAAGAGAGAAGTCTGCTTTATTTTGCCGGTAGACATGTAGTCTGGCCAATTCTTTATCCAGCCACACAGTGGCAGCAGCACACAAGCCAGGAGAAGGCTGTCCATGTTCCTCTGATTTCATCTTCTTTGGGAAGGCATCTTGACCCATAAGTAATACAATTGACATGGCCGTGGAAAAAATGTGGTTAAAATGGAAGGGATAGAGCTGTGATACTAACTGACACAGATTGGTTCCTTCTAACCATTATACAACACATAAGAAAAAAGGTAGGCATTGCCAATCAGCAATGGATCCCAGTTCAGAGTCACTGGCTACTAGGTTTCTGGTTATGGGAGACTGCTGAAAGGATAAATGTTGATAAATCACATGGGATTATTTTTTAGTTTCTATACAGCAAATACAGTCTGAACAGATACTGGACATCGTTCTATTCTGTTATTTTCCCATTGCATTCAGCTCTAGATTAGTGTGCTTTGAATGGCATGTCCAAAGGACCTTCCTACACATGCATACACTATGCAAACTGAAGCCTCTCTTTTCTCATAAGCTCCTCACCACAGACCCCTCCCTCACCAATATCAGTGGGTCCCCTGTATGCAAGCAAGGGGACATGCAGAACAGCTTGCAAGAGCATGGTCCAAAGTTGCTAGCTAATGTGTGGTTTATAGAACCTGCTCATTTCAAAGCTTGGTGACACTCTAGCTCATATACCCTTTAACCCTTCTGGACAAGGACCAACTTTAAAGGTGTTTTCCAAGCTAGACTGGCTATTTTCTGGAGTTTCCCTGTGCTCACTCAGGGGAGAAGGGGGATTGTATCCACCACAGCCCTGAACACCACTGCAAGCAGTTACCTAGTTCTCCAGTCTTGAGGTGTCCAGCTTTCTAGCTGAAACCGTGCTCCGTCGTTCTCAGCCTGAGCGAGGGATTTTGCCAAGAGGGGTGGGAGAATCATTGAGTGGGGGAGGAGCAGCAAAAAGGTGGGAAACGACTGTACACTCACTACACCTAGGGGTTCTCTCTGTACTTGCTTAGGATGCCAAGGGGCGTTGCTCAAGAGAGGAACCCAAGAGAGGCTCCTGCAGAAGGCAAGGGGGAAACGAGACCGGAGCAGAGCTAGCTGGCATCCTTTGGACCAAGCCAGGCCTCTCCAGCCTGAAGAGATAAGCAGTTGTTAATGAGGTTTCTCCAGGCCTGCTTGAGGATCTCTCTTGGCGCACTGCTCAGCAACAGCCCACTCTTTTATTATCGTTGCATTCGGGTGGGCGGGGGGGAAGAGGAAAGGATCTTTTAATGCACTTACACCAAACAACGTGGCAACATGCAGAGGACTAAGCCACTCAACCCACTGCACACTAAGCAAGCTACATGCACAGGCGGAGGAATAATAGGCACATACACTAAACAAAATTACAAAATAGATCTGTAAAATGAATAGGGGGAAAAAAAACAAGATTGTTAACTTACCAGCAGAAACTCTCCTAATGTTTCCTGTATCTGAGATCAAACCCCAAAGAAAGCCTTTATGGGCTTTTTAAATGGCTTTGACCCTTGTTTTGTTAAGAGGAACACTGCCAGGAACATATCACAGAAGCAAGCAGGGGCTTCAAAAAATCAAAGACATCAATCTCTAGCTAAACTGTCCAGATGGGAAAGAACCCAGCCTTTTGTCTAAAGGAAGCCAGCCCTTGCCAGCAGTGTTCCTTCTAACTTGCTCTCTGTGTGAAGAATAAATTTTGTCATATACACCAATGCATGTGCAGATGTGCACCACTGATAGAAACACACGCTCCCGGCTGTGAGAAACTCTGGGCACTCTGAAAATCAGCTGGGCAGCACCTGAATCTCTCCTGGTTGACCGCTCAAGCGCTCAGTTTACAGAGAATGCTGCCTGCCAGTCAAATTTCAGAATAACTGACCAACAACATAGACACAGTCACAAACATCAGGAATCCTATCTGACAACCCTTATGCACCCACTTAACTTGATTGATGGGATTTATTTACTCACATACATAAAGCAGCATTTTGCAGAAGCAGGACCTTAGTTAATGAGTGCTGTGCAATACAGAGTTCAACTAAGTTGGAAGAGGATTTGTATAGAGGGTGACCACTGCTAATGCATTTCCTCTCCTTGAAGCTGTACGAGCAGGCTTGGAAGCACAGAGCATTTTTCTACCATAAATGTACAAAGAAATAGCTGAACGTACTAATGAGGCTAGAGATACAATATGAGGCCTATGGGACCAATTCTGCCTTCACTACCAACCATGCAGCCCAGCCCAAGGATGTGACTAGGATGGTATAAGGTATACATTAATGCTGGATTTGACCCATCCATTTACATAACAATTAGGAACAGCTCACCACATAAATATTCACATCATGTGCTGTTTGGTTAAGGTGCATTTAATTATCTTAATAGCCACATAGTAGACTTTTAAACTGTGGGTAATAAATGTTACCAACCAACCTCAGATGACAAGTCAATAGAAATGCCACTTCAAATAAGTGGAAAAGGTGTGTGTGGGGGGGGAGGGGGAAATAGCAGCCCATACTGCATTAACTAATGCACAACACTCAGCTGCAGGAACCAGGCCATTCAGTTCCACTTTGGGTTCTGGCTCCATGGAGGAAAGAGCCTGCTCTTAGACTCTTTCAGCATGAGCATACTCCATGGTCCCATTAGGCACCCGACTTCCTTTCCACTGCAGGCAGCAACATCTGTGCACCCCTGGCCTCACTTGGATGACTTACTTGAGTGATGAGTTTAAGTCACAGGCTCTCCCTCTCATATTCAAGAGGGAAATGATAGGAGGGGTGGGGGAGAAATGAAACTTAAGAGGAGTTCTTTAAAGAAAAATATTTTTAAATTTGAATCTTACAATGCTAATCTGTCTGTGAGCAGGCCATCTCAGAGAAGTCAGGAACTGTGTGGGGTCTAGCTCCGCCCGATCAGTGCTCTGATGCTTGGTAATTGCCTAAACAAGCAATACTGTGCTAGGCGAAGGTATCTGCCTTGAAAATAGAAATAGTCTCCGGTTTTGCAAGGTCACAGATCCTGGCTTGGCAGTCAGAGTGGCTTTTCAGAGAAAGCTGGCTATCACAGAAGGCTCTTATCCCCCACATAAGATCTTCAGCTGAGAGCTGGGGACTTGGCAGTCAGAGTGGCTTTTCAGAGAAAGCTGGCTACCACAGAAGGCTCTTATCCC